AAGTATCTTCAGAAATCACCCAGAATTATTTTAAAACAATCCGCTGAGACCATCTTTGTTCTTATTAGAATTGAACCTAGAATCCTCATCCAATAATTCTTCTCAGAACTCTCGTTAAAATTCACTCTCAATTATATTGGAATTATTTTCAAAATTGTTTCGGAGTTGAATTTTGCGTAATAATTTAAACAATAATCAAAAGCGACGCTTGTATGTGTTAAGCCAAGTTTGACTATGTAGGTAAACCTGGCTTAAGATTAAAGCGGAGATGAAGAAATCGGTCCTCAGAGCACTTAATTTTACATGAGACTTTCGTAGTCTGTACTTTGGTATTCTTCTCTGATATGTCTTGGTGGCATCCCTAGAATCATTTAAAATTCTCTTAAATTTACTTTGAATTTTTTAAAGAACCTAATCATCCTTGAAAGATTTTTGAAAATCTATCACAGACAAATGACACCTGTGGAAAGTTTCCAAGGTTTACCATTTATTTTCTGGGAAAGGAAGTATATTTTCCCCGATTTTTAATCGAAATTGAAGGCACTTCCCAATAGTTTTCCTGGTGTTCTAAAGTTTCACGGTTCACTGGTAACTCTGGATAAAATCATCAATTTTTTAACAGATATGTATACTTTGTTAAAACTACTGTAGACTTTCTTAGTGCCAAGTATATTTTTTTTTTTTGAAATTGCACTCTATTTTAGTTGTGAAAAAGTGACTTTAGTGATTATTTTTGACTGGCTAAAAAGTGACCTGCTACCAGCCCTGCAAACTCCCCCGTTGGAGAGGGATGGTGAGGGGTATCTCCCCCCGCCACCACTGGCAAAAAGAGATGATCACCGACACACTCATGTACCGACGATGTCAATTGTATCAATTCTATACTTTCATCTCCTCATCTATCGTATAAAAATTACCACTCTAGTATGTTATTTGAAATTAGCATCTTCAACTATGTAAATCGTTGACTTCACGCAGAAGTAATATAAAACAAATAGTTAAAGCTTATATACGAGTTATTTCAATCATAAACGAGTGACTGCAACTTTTCGTGACTGAAGTTTGCCAATCGAGTTGTCTTGAGTTAATTTGAAGATAATCCACGTTAATTGTAGGTCGAATTCTAAGTAGAATTCCAAAAAAATCGGAGCAAGATACTATGAAAGGTCTTCTTCTTCTTCTTATTCTTCGAATTTAAAGCTTATTGCATATCGCATATTAGCTTATTGCGTGCTCTCAACTTAGTGTTCAAGATGCACTTCCACAGTTATTAATTGAGCGCTTTCGATGCCTGTACCATGTTTGCCTTGGTATAATTGTGTGACAAGTCCTATCATACTACTATGCCGAGGGAAGTCGAGAAATTTTCCATCCCGAAAAATTCCTAGACCGGACCGGGAATCGAACCCACCCACCTTCAGCATGGTCATTCATGTGTTATTACTTCATGCGTGAATTTAACGATTTACATAGTCGGAGATGCCTAACGTCAAGCATCAGATTTAAAGTGGAGATTTTATACCATAGGTGAGGAAATTAAATTAAAGAGTTGATAGTTACGTGAAAATTGTATATACAAAGTAGAAAACGATCAAAGGGTAATTTTGAGGAAGGTACGAATCGGGTAAATAGTTGTTTACGTCAGATGTGAGTGAAACAATCGATAAAACTGTTTCCGCACATCGGAGGTACGTGAGCAAATCGGCGATCATCCCTTCTGCCAGTGGTGGCAGGGGAAAACACCCCTCACCATCCGTCATTAACGGATGAGCTTGGTAAAGGAGATGCTCTACCCGATTCGTACGTTTCTCAAAATTGTCCTTTGTTCGCTTTCACACTGCCGTACTATAACGGAACTATCAACTTTTTACTTTCATCTCCTCATCTATCGTATAAAATGTCCACTTTAATTCTGATATTTGATGTTAAATATTTCCTGCTACGAAAATAATCTATTTCCAAAAATTTTGTTGATTGTTCTGCAAAGAATTTCAAGAATCCAATATTATTTTTGTAAAAACTTATTTTCCTCTAAGTTTAAGAGAAGAGGAGTTATTTTAAAAAAGTTCATGAGATCATTCTGAAGTAATTCTGTGAAAAGTTCTTAGCGAATTATCAAAATTTTAAAGATTTCGAACGCAGAATCAAATTCAAGATCATAAAAAAAAATGAAAATTACTATTTGCCAGTCATCATGTATAACGTAAGCAAAAGTAAATTATTCAAATCACTTCAAATGCTCTTCACAGGAGATTCCGTTGTGAGATTCGATTAAATTAGAGGAATTTATGAAATTTGATTTTAAGTTCCAGTGGCTGGTGGCGGGGGGAGACACCCCTCACCATCCCTCTCCAAAGGAGGAGTTTGGTAAAGAGAGATGAAAAAACCGATTTGTACCTTCCTTAAAAGTTGTTCTAGCTCGCTATTCTAATATCTATATGCAATCTTCACACTGCCGTACTCTAACGGAACTATCAATTCTATGCTTTCATCTACTCCATCTATCGTATAAAAATTACCACTACAGTCTGTTATTTGAAATTAGCATCTTCAACTATATTAATTACTTGTTTGATTTATGGACTTCTCGAAATTTCAGTCATAGTTTCCTGTATTGCTTGACAAATATTTAGAATTGCTTTTATTACAACATTCGAGTGACATTTTTATTTGCCGATAATTTTTTTTAAACAAAAATAAAAAATAAAATATAGGGGAAATGGTTGTAATGTTGGCCCAAATGCCCCTCATTTGGGCCCATACATAAATTCAGCAATTGACTACATTTTCAATAGCTACCAAATATACCCATTAGTACCGTCCCAATGACGTTGATGGGCCCAACATTAGAGCCAAATATTTTTCAATTTGAGTAAAATACACGGCACTGAAACTCGGTCTATGTGTATTTTTTTTTTATTTGATTGCATTAATCCAAACAACCGTTACATTATTTGAGCATTTTTGGCAGCGTTTTGTGTTTTGCGCTGACAATTAGTAATAGTTTATAATCTTTCAAACAATTGTTTTATAAACCAACTAAGCTTAAATATGTAATACCCTTCATCTTCCTGCATACAACAAACGTAGGATAATAATTTCACCCACCATTTATAGAGGATTGCAATCCAGAGACACATTTCCATATCGTTTCTAAGTCCAATCAATCTTCTCATGAAATACAATAGGACACGAAGCGGAGGAAAACCGGTAGAAAGCCCACGCGTACAATAACTCATTCATTTTCACTTAAATCCCAGCATCCCCACCGACTCGTAGTGTAATTCTCCTAGAGATGGCCGTTTCGATTTTTCTTCTCCTGAAGGGGAGACTGTGAGTGTGGGAGGATGATGTGTAATAGACGTGGGATTGGCACCGACTTCTTTGACTGGAGCATATCTCATATAGCATAGAGAGCAATTGGATCGACCGTCGGAATTGTGCGTAGGTTGTAACAATATGAAACAAGATTTATTGGGAAAAGTATTATTTATGGCTATTGGCGAACGTGAGAAGCTTGGTTAAATCCGCGATGTAAATCTTTTACTATAGAATTTCGAGTTCAATAATCCACCCGTAGTAATTGACAGACAGTCTAAAAACCCCTTTAGAGCATCACCTTTCATCGCATAAATTACCACATTAAACAGGTTTTCGACCTCGTCGCGTTCCTCGACAAAAAAAAAACATAGTTTCAAAGGAACAGCTGAACAACAAAAATCGAACGCTGCCGCTGTTGCTATCACACTGTCTAAAACAGATAGCAGCTTTCGTCATTCCATTACCGTCATCGTGACAATGATTTGCATGTTAATTATAATCTACTTGCTGGTTGTGGTTGCGATATGGGTGCCCTCGCTCCACACTGTAAACCTTGTGATTTATTCGTTTATTTTTTCGTACAGGTACCCGGCCGGCGCCGGTGGGGTAATGGTAAACGTGACTGCTTTCTCACCCCAATGGGTCTGGGTTCAATCCCAGCCGAGGTCGGCGGGTTTTTTCTGAGGCATAAAAATCTCTGGTCACGTCTTCCTTCGGAAGGGAAGTAAAGCCGTTGGTCCCGGCCCATGTGCCTTCCTGCGTATTCGATTGCCGTCAATGGATGGCAATCGAAGTCCGTTGGTGATTGGCACTAGATTGCGGAACAGAGACCGACGTTAAATAAAAGAAAGAAGAAGAAGAAGAAGACGTACAGATACCTACATTCAAAAGCGATAATAATTATACGCACGACCCCACACCGACAGCGCCTGTTTTTTTTTCGATAAGCATTTTTGATAAAGAAACTGGCCCGAGGCAGCTGCCATTCTATTGATGGGGACACACGAAAACGCACACGTGAGATGCTTATCGGGACGCCTACTCTCGTCTGCCTTGTTTTCACGTTCAAGGTCAAGTAAGAGTGAGCGGGAAAACTGCGTCGGAGACGACGAAGAACCGCTTCCAACTGGATTCTTGTTTACTATTGTTGTTTTCTTGCATTGCTGGGGAGCTGATTGAAGGAGAGGGAAGGGACTGGGTTCCTGTTTATTACACTCCTCTGAATACTGATGGGATTCAGCAAAACCGGTTCGGGGCGGTTTATTCCTCCAATGCTTCAATCTGCGTCGTCGTTGTAGTCGTCCCGGGAAAAGGACAACAACAACAACAACAACAAGCGCACGACATTCAATGACATTTGAAGAGACACCGATCGATTTAGGGAACGGGACAGTCAACAACGCTTGTATATGTTTTGGCTGTTTTCCTATTTCATTCCGTAATTTTGTGTTTTTGTTTTGCATTTTGGCAACTTAATCGATCGAACCAGCTTATCAATTATTAAGTTTTCAAGTAGTTAATACGAGCACCAACACGCTTTTCACGAGACTGTTGAACCTGATTGTTGACCGTATCTTATCTAGCTCAACGTCCTCTCGGCGCTAATTACTTTCACCCCATCGCACGTGTAAGCAATCATTAGCACCACTAATCCTCAACCATATTTGCCTTCATTTCAGTGAGAAGAAAATCATCGACTTGGACAAACCGATGCGATGCGGTGCATTCGTAGACCCCTCGCGAGTCAAGCAATACACCGAGGAGGATTTTATCCTCCCCGAGACGCCACCCTTCCATTGGTTGCTTCCGAAGCCAAAGGACGACACCAGCTCGCTGAAGAGTGGTACCGATGAAGACCGGCAGTCGATCAATTCTCCAACATCCGCCGCCGCCCCCGCCGCAGTAGTGGCATCTGATGAAAACTCGTCCTCCAATGCAAACAACAACAACCTCAACAACGTGAACAACAACAGCGGCCACAGCCAGAAGGGATCGTTTGAACCCATGAACTTCCGGTTGTCGCAGTCACCGAAGAGTGGCGAATTGAATCTGGCTGCCGGAACGGCGGCAGTTTTGGCCGCAACTACGGCAGTAGCAGTAGCAGGTGCAACGGCAGGATCGAATTCCGGTTCGCCACCGGCATCGTTGACCGGGGAATTCCGGCGGTCGTCACGGTGGTCCATTCGGCAAACGGGACCCGAGGACGAGCGGTTGCTCAAAGAACTGGTAAGTTTTGATTTCGTTGCTAATACTAAGAATCAAGCGTGAAGTGACAGGAAGTGATTACATTATCAATAATAGACTGGTATTAGGAATTGGCCACCTGCTTATCTTGATTCAACAGATAAGGTACTCAGAACAATGCAATACACACTTGTTTACAAACCGCTAACTGATAATCAACAAACTACACGATTCATCAAACCGGTTTTTGTTTATTCAGTTTTTAAATTCAAAATCCAGTTTGAATTCGGGATTCACTGCTGAATCAACAACGTTAGATATTACGTGCATCTTGATGCTACCTTGTTGATGCCGGTTTTCAGATGACTGTTTGGTAAATTTTGTTGTTATTTTGTTTTTGTTTTTCCGGTTTAGAACGATCCACGATACCTGGAAACACCAGCTACTGTTAGATTATAATTATTTTCTTCGAAACAAAGAATCTCCACTGTGTGACATCTTCTCTTGAAGTTTTGTTTTGTGGTGCAATAAAGCAATAAAATATAGCTTCAAAACTGGAAAGGCCACCCTGGTGCGTTTTCCACAGCACTTGTTTCTCGGTCGTAACGATAACCGTTACCTATTTACGATTAATCCTGTACTCGCAGAATTTCAAACCAAACTAATCAATTCCGGGAACGGAAGTGAAGAGAGCTGATATTAATATCGATGTCGGCATTTTTATTGAACTTTCAACAACTGATAACAACATTTGCCCGAACACACAAACCCGAATCGTTTGCATAAAGTCTGATTTTGAACCCAGCGTAGACAACTCATAAAATTTATGAAATGTTCAAATATCTGATATTCTGATATTCGATTCTGATTCCTCATCAAACATGCAAATTCTAGAACTAATAATTATTTCAAAATTCTTGAAATAACTGCTCATGTTTAAAAGATAGAAAAATCTTCTCTAAAATATTAGATCCCGGTTTCTCAATAAATTCTAGAACTCACAAATCAGTGCTAACATTTGAAAACGGCACAAAAGCCATTTGTAAACAAATGGTTTGTGGGCCCTTTACTCACTACTTGAAGTACACCCACGCGACACAACAGCAACATCGGGTAGGGGAAATTTTCCCCTTCCTGACGATGCTGTTGGTTTGCGTGGGCGTTCTTCGGGTAGCGAGTAAAGGGCCCACAAACCATTTGTTTACAAATGGCTTTTGCGCCGTTTTCAAATGTTAGCACTGAAATGTTCCCAATGTGCATTTTAAAATTACAAATTCAGAAATTAAGGTGATACTCTAAGAAAGCCTTAGCGTGAAACTTTAAAGGCACAAATATCAGCTTCCACAAAACATACAAATTTGAAATTGCTACTCCTTGTTTGCTGTGCTACTGCAAACAGAGCGTAGCAACTTCAAATTTGTATGTTTTGTGGAAGCTGACATTTGTGCCTTTGAAGTTTCACACTAAGGCTTCCTTAGAGTATCACCTTAAAACTTCATTCGCAGTACTGTACAGTAAAACCCGAAAGAACTGCGTATGTTTAAATAAGGAAAAATCTCATAAAATTACTATTGTCGGGCTATTCTTATCTTCTCCATAACACTCCAGAAAGTTTACTTTCCATTCACCGTAAGATTCTCAAAATAAGATTTATTATTTTAAACCATCATTTGGGGCAACATTGAGCCTGTTGATGTTGACAAATAAACGAATAAAGTAACTGACTTATCTTGCCCCGTGATCCACCTTGCCCCTCATTCGAGTAGGGTGCATAAGTCACGCCCTATAATTTGCACTTTATTTTGAGTTGGTCTCAGTGACCGTATATGTATGATTTAGGGTCCAATTGCCTCTTTGGAATTCTCTCAAAGTTCTTCTCCTAGAATAATCTTGACATTCTCGCTTATTATTCTCCATAAGTTGAAGATGTATCTTCTTAGTCCGTTATCTTGAAAATATTAACTTCAGGGTGACCAGTGATCCGAAAAATCGGAAAAACTTTTTAACAATTGAAAGATTCTTGGACTGAATTTTCAGGATACAGTCACTTTGATGAACTAAATATAAAGAGAAATGTTAAACGATTTTAGCAAGAAATCTGGAAATAACAACCAATTTACCTAAAGATTTTTTTAAGAACTCTAAGAGAGATTTGACGAGAACTCCAAGTCAATAGTATGAGTTCAGACGTTCAGAGCAGTGATGGGCAACTGAACCAACCGGTGCGCACTGTGTGCTGGTTCGTGTTCAAAAAAAATACTCCTGTGTTTATGTAAGCGTGTACCCTGATTCGGTTGAGTTTTCGTGTACCAGTGTGCTCTAAATCAAAACCGACTGCCGGTTTTCGAGTTGATGTTCAGAACCGTAGCTTGGAAACCGAAAACCGGTGTGCTAGAATTGCGGGTATACCGTTCTTGGTTCAAAACATTGGTAATAATTAAATAGCAGTGCTCCCAAATAGGTGAATAAATATGTTTACCAAGCGACAGTTGTTAATTCAATTGTCAAATATTTTGATAGACAATATTGGTAGCGAAGGAACTGGAAATCATTTTGAAGTCTGACAAATACCCTTCGATATGGGTATTTTTGGATTGCGGGTGACGCATATAGTCTGGAAATCGATAGACGATACCTTCTTGAAATCCAATATGGCGGCTTCCGGTTGCAGATAAACTGAGAACTACTGTCAAATACCCTTCAATATGGGTATTTTTGGAATCGGGATGCCGTATAAAGACCGGAAATCAGTGTCTGACGCCATCTCGAAATCCAAGATGGCAGCTTCTGGCTGTAGGAAAACTTGGAAATACTAGCAAATACCCTTCAATATGGATATTTTCGGAATCGGGATGACGTATATATACCGGATATCAATGTCAGACGCCCTCTTGAAACCCAATATGGCGGCTTCCGGTTGTAGGAAAACTTGGAAATACTAGCAAATACCCTTCAATATGGGTATTTTTGGAATCGGGGTGATATCTAGAGAGCAGAAATCAATGTTTGACGCCATTTTGAAATCCAAGATGGCGGCTTCCGGTCATAGTAGAACTGGGATATACTGTCAAATATCCTTCAATATGCGTTTCCATTTCCCAGTTTTTCTACAACCGGAAGCCTCCATCTTGGATTTCAAGAGGGCTCTGGCATTGATTTCCGGTCTTTAGACGTCATCTCGATTAAAAAAATACTCATATTGAAGGATTTTTAACATTATTTCCCAGGTTTTTCTATAACCGGAAGCCGCCATCTTGGATTTAAAAATAGCGTCAGATATTGATTTCTGGTCTCTTGACATCACCACGATTCCGTAAATACGTATATTGAAGAATATTTGGCATTATTTCCCAGTTTTTCTATGACCGGAAGCCGCCATCTTGGATTTCAAAATGGAGTCAGACATTGATTTGCGATATATAAACGTCATCCCGATTCCGAAAATACCCATATAGAAGGGTATTTGCTAGTATTTCCCAGTTTTCCTACAAACGGAAGCCGCCATCTTGGGTTTCAAGATGGCATCAGACATTGATTTTCGGTCTCAAGACGTCACCCTGATTCCGGAAATAACCATATTGAAGGGTATTTGATGAGTTTTCATTTTTTTCTATAAACGGATGCCGCCATCTTGGATTTCAAGATGGCGTTGGTCGACGATTTTCGGTCTCCCTATCACCCCGATTTACAGTTTTTCTGTATTCAAAAACCGCTATTTCGACTTGACAATGCATAATTTTATTCATCAAATACAAATTATGTTTAGTTATCTGCCATCACTGGCAATTCTGAATAATGCGCACCACGCACATAAACACACAACAGCACCGGATCGGTTCTTGAATTCAAAACATCATCCTTGTGAACACGAACACCGGTACTGGAAAATCAGAACCGCACCGTGTGCAGCGAACTACCAAACCGAACCGACAGCAGCACCAAACATTCGGTACAACAGATCAGCACATTGGTTATGACTTAGAGATCCGTACCGGTGCTGTACTGGTGTTTTGCCCATCACTGGTTCAGATTACAATTTTAAGTTAGTTCTGCGGGAAATTTCATGACGATTGTGAAGAGGATTCCTGGTCCATTTGTAATCAATATTCCAAATAAGTTCTGAGAAGAATTTTAAAACAGTTGTGATGCGATTCCAAGGAAAGTTACTAGAAAATCAAGCGATAAATACCAAGGGGATCGAATACCAAAAAAAAATCTGAGAAGAGTTTTTTGAGAATTCCAAGAATAATTCCAAAGCCATCTCGAAGAATTTCTGGAGAATTCTAAGTACCTGTAAAGATGAATTTAGAGGAGAGCCCAGGATAATTATGAGTAGAACTGTAAGACAATTCTGATGTGAACTGCATAGAAATTCTAAGGATAATTCAGGCTAAGCTTCACTTAATTTCATTCAAAGCAAACTTAGGATGAATTGCTCGAATGTTTTGAGTGTTCTGAAATTTTAAGGGACTTTCAGAGGGGATCTCAAATTTAGAGAAAAGAATTCTGTGAAAGGAAATGATTCGAAAATAAATTTGGGAACATTTCATAAAGAGTTCTGAGCGGACTTGTTCAAGATAGTTCAAACATAGCCAAATTCTAACGACTTCTAACGCAGAAACAAACGATTTTCCCGGATTTTTGACAATCTTCCCGGTTGTGCGATATAAATTTGAGATTTGTTCCTGCCCAATATCAATTAAAAAATGCTTCAGACTTTGAAAGCTCTCAAATAGGCTATAACTGTGACAGTGCTTAAAACAACTCAAGTCGAAGTAAGACGTTTGGACGTAATAACCAAGAAGAAGAATGAATATTAGAAGAACGCTGAAAATACAAACACGGTTTGATGACAAAGTGAATTTTACCGAAACTTTATTTCGCATTTCCACTAACCACAAACGCGTCGGTTTCTCTTTACTCCTTGCAGCACTTCCCCTTCGCCGCGTCCAACTCCCCGATCGGTGACCTGGCCAAGTTCTACCGCGAGTGCTTCAACGCTCCGCCGCTGCAGGAGTTCAATCAGCTGTCGAATGTGATTTCCAACGTCGACGACGAGGAGGCGGCCAACGCTGACGATGCCGGCCGGATACTGACCGCTGCCGATGGGGCGGTCGACGACGATACCGATGACCTAACGCGCCAGTTGGAACAGTTTGAAACGTCGCTTCCGGAGTTTGAAACGCTGGTGACGTCCCTCTGCCAGTCGGTGGACAACAATTCCAACAGCTAAGATCCTGCGTCGACGACAATGACCCGGCTGGACCAATCGATCGCAGTCGAGATCGACTGGAGAGACTGACCACAAGACGTTGTTGTTGATGCTAGTGCGGGGCGTGTGGCGGGTATTTTTTTGCAGTTTTTCTTAGTCGCTTAAGAGAGAACAGTCTGATTGATGATATTCATCTATAAACCATATTATTTTTGTTTATTTTTTTTCGTAGACTTAGGAGACGGTAGCTTAGAGGTTAATTACTAAGGACAAGTATCATTTCAGTTTTTGGGACGGGAAAATTGTGTATTATAGTTAACCGATGAGGATAGTAGATAGCTTAGGAAGGACGTAAGATGTACTAATTGCTGTAAATATTTTGGAAAGGGCTATTTCGCAGAAAAAAAAATGTTCATGGAAGGGAAAACGAGAGAAAGGATTTACAAAAGATATGATTGTAATACACAATATTTGAGGGCGAAGAAACTAAAGTTCCTTACTTTCTAATGCTTTACTTTTTTTCAAACGCGACAAATGCACCACCTGAGTGTATTTCTATTGGGATTTTACTCTGTTTTCATTATTCTAAAATATTGAGTAATTTAAACCTTTCTTAACATTTTCTCTGAGTCATATATAGCTGTAAATAGGAAATTTTACGCGAGAGTCGATTCGATTCATTCGTTTGTCGAGCTTTTATCATCCGTGGTTCGGTTTCGCAGACGAAAGTTGGCAGATTTAGTAGGTAATCCAAGACACATATAGACTTCTTTGCCAGCTTTGCGTCCGTTCAATCTGTTGCCCGGAAAAATCAGCAGAAGAATCAATCGATGCTCCTCTTTGCAATCAATCTTTGTATGCTAAAGCCTAAAAAATCAGTTATTTGATGTTTTATAAGAGTAGAGCATATTTTATAATCTAATTTTATTACATAATCAAAACAAGAAAAAAGTAGAAAGTAAGCAGAGCTTAATCGCTTTACAGCCATTGTTTTTATATGAACATTTCTATTGGACTTACATTAAATATTTTCCCTTCATTTCTATCACCTAATCGCCGCAAATTTCGCATATCACTCAGTCTCCTTTTGAGAGTGAAACCTGCACACACTCACACACAAATTATCGCGCCATTCAAAGACTGAATGTTACTTATTATTTTCCGTTTTCATTTAATTTCCTTCTTAGATTTGGGCGAAATGAAAGGTCATTTACAGTAGCTAGATCAGAAAATTTAAAGATTGACGAAAGAATAATCAAAATACTTATCTAAATCGAATCGGTCAAGAGAGCAAACACCGATCTTGTTACGCGCACTGTTAGTTGGTCATTGGAATGAAATTTTATTTGTCACAGATGATAGCTCTATTGCATTAATTGTCACCATATTCAGAAAATATTGAAATCGAGAAAATTAGTAAGGCAGCCCATCCTGTAGGCAGGAGGCAGAATTATAGTGCTTTATAATCATCATCCTCTAGAGGACAAAAGTATCGATTAAACTCATAGTGTAAATCCACACATTATACCATCAATTTTCCTAATCAGAAATCGTAAACAATAAATTAATTTTCGAGTAACTGTTTCTTGCTAGCCCCGTCTGGTTTAGCAGAATCCACCATTCATTGTAGAATCCATACACTCAGACAAACAAGGAATGAAAACAGATTGTTTATTTTGTATAAAATTGTAGTCAAATCCATTGTAACAAACAAACTGATATTTGAAAAAAAACGATAATTTCCTAAACAACACAAAATAAACATTTTTTGGTTTATTCAAACATAAAACAAACGGTCGCTGGACGAGAGCTTTTGTTGTACTGGACGAAAGAAAGTCATGCCCCTTGTTGCCACTTGGTTGATTACAATTTGAGAGAGGAAGCGAGATTACACAATTTGTACGATTTGTTTGTAAACAGCAGTTTGTAATTGATTAAGAAACATTCCTGTGTCGAGGAACGGTTCGCTGCACAAATACTCCATTCAATGGGATTGTTTGTTCCATAGTGATTTTTTTATTTCAAAGATTAACATAATGGAAAGAAATTCGTCAACCATTGAAGACTAGGCAACTCCGAGAATTTAAATCAAATTATTTATTATTCTGTATTACGTTCGAAACGGATTTCAATATTATTATTTTTTGTATAGGGAATCCGTTTTGAACAGAATAGAGAATTGGGGTTACTATCTTCATTCATGTGTCTTAATGAATTAGATACAAACAAACAAGTTAAGATTGTTTCTGTGATATACAAACAAACGAATCGTATAGAATACAAAAAAAAATGCTATACGTACATAAGAGGAGGCCATATAGGTGCAATTTTTTTTTAATCGGATTGTGGTGTTTCGAACCGATTTTAATGATCGAAGACGTTTATTACGGATAATATCAAACTCTTTATTCTTGGCAAATTACACGCAATTGAAAACTCGGTGTTTCAAGAATAATCCTTCTTTTTTTTCCCCTCCTTCTCACCGTCCTTTTTCTCTCTTCGCGAACAGCTCTGTCAACGGTTGCAAATTCCAGGGTGGTATCCATTTCATCAGTTGCATCCCACAGCCTCCCCCAGGCCCCAGTTACACAAAAAATCTAATCCGGTGTCCTGTTGGTGTAACCTTAGTTCGGTGATCGTCCGAAGGATGATGTTCCAAGTCAGGGTTGCATATAAAAGCAGGTTTAATCCGGCCGATCGAAATGTGCTGAGTCTTCCCAGATATGATGACATTCATGTATTTATCATGGTCACGGAGTCCACTCTAGTGAAAACGTGCGTACAAGAACTCAACTCTGCGTTGACAAATATATTTCGATGATTTTTTTTTTTTTTTTTTTTTTTTTTTTCTTTATTTTAGAGATTTTTAGCCTGAGGCTAGTTCATCTCTTATATTTCGATGACCATGACGCCTGGGCTTGGGTGATTTTACGTTCTCAAAGGAGCGATGTAACAATTTATAAAAATCTGTTCGATCAACAGTTGATGCCGGCGAATCAAAAAATTCACCAGGAATACGTAAGCCTTGACCGCATACTAGATCTGCAGCTGAGCATTTCAAATCTTTTCTGTATGAAACACGCAGCCCAAGCAAGATCAACGGAAGCTCGATGTACCGTTGACGCACATAATAGAAGCTTTCAACGTCCTATAGAATCTTTCCACAATTCCATTCGCTTGTGGATGGTATGCAGAAGTCCGAATATGAGAGGGGTTTAACATTTGGGTCAGTTCGTTGAATATTTCCGACTCAAATTGACGTCCTTGGTCTATTGTTATATTTTCAAGAACACCAAACCTTAAAATCCACTTCGAGTACAATGCTTGTGCTACCGTTGGTGCTGTCATGTCGGTTAGCGGGACTGCTTCTGGCCAGCGTGAAAAATGATCGATCATCGTGAGAAAATAGCGATGTCCTTGAGATGGTCCCACAAGGTCGATATGAACGTGGCTAAATCGAGCCTTTGGAAGATCAAATTCACCCAGAAGAGACGTAATATCATGATGCACCTTCGAACGTTGACAGTTTAAACAGTTCTTGACAAATCTGTTGATATCAGCATTCATGGACGGCCACACGAAACGCTTTGCTATGAGTTCTCTTGTAGCCCGAGAACCGGGATGTGCTAGTCCATGAAAGTACGTCATGACATTTACTCGATGTGGCTTGGGAATATACGGACGAGGATGTCCGGTTGAATTGTCACACTATATTTTTAGACCGTACTGTGGCAGTGACTTGACTTCAAATTTCAGAGATGTACTTGTACAACAAAATTGTCTTTTCCGCTGACATGCTGTGAATTGCGATATAAATCTAAGGTATCGCTCTTCATGCGGTAATCGTGAAGTGGATTCAGTTAATGGACAATGATCAGTGAAAATAGTGAAGTTACGCCCTTCTAGCAAATGTCGAAAGTACGCCCGGAGTCTTGGCTTGATTCAAACGACGATAATCTCCTACGAAACGCCATTGACCGTTATTTTTGGGCACACAATGTAAGGGACTGGCCCAGCAATTACTAGACGGCCGACAAATTCCTAAATCGCACATGACTCTGAATTCTGCCTTCACAGCTTTTACTTTTTCAGGATGCATCCGACGAACTTTCGATGTTACCTCTTTGGTTGGAGCCCTTATGATGAGTAACGTCTTTCTGCGTCTGTGACCGCATCGTAGCAGGCAGCGTTATTTCTCGACACTCCAGTAGTAGTTCCCGATATGAATGATCTGCGTTTACTGTCGTCACATTGTAGAGCTGAGCTGTCATCACATTTCCAGGGGAACTCAAGCCAGTCTTCCCGTCCGTTAGGCGTTGATGTTTCAGGTCCACTAGAATGCCGAAGTGTGCAAAAAAATCGGCTCCAACTATCGGCATTGTAATGTCAGCAATCAAAAAATTCCAAAGGAAGCTCCACCTGAGTTCGAGCTCCGGGCTTAGAAATTTTGTCCCGTATGTTTGAATCCTGGTCCCGTTTGCCGCGTGAAGTGATTGTACAGTAAACCCTTCGCTTTTTTCTCGCTTATTAGCCGGTATCGATTAAGAAATGGTAGTTGGTTGTGCGATAGTGAATGCCCTAATAAAAATAACCATAAAGCTGGGTTTAGACTAGGCAAGTCAAATGATCAAGTCAGTTGAATTCAATTGGCTTGAAGAGTTGAGCCTGGTTCAACTTTTTTCAACTCAAGTGAGTTGATCAAGTCAGTTGAATGGCATGGTTTACACGTTCAATTCGCGTTCAAGTTAAGAGAGCTTAACGACGTGTTCGGGGTATCATCCAAACCATTTGTGGGATAGTTTACCCATCCGGGATACAGTTCGTTTATGGTATTTGTTTATTAGGGTGGTTAAACGGCGGCTTCCATCAGGCACTGCCTCCACCTCCGCCGAGATAGGTGGGGAAGCTTCTAGTTTTTTGATCAAAGGAACCAGGTTGCCGGCACTGGCGTGCGTTGTGACCATAGTTTCGGTGATACCAGCATAGCTCACCTTGTGATCGTCTTCCGGTAGCAAATCGGGTTCTGGAAGCGGATCGGCTACGTGAACGGTCTGCTGTTTTCAATTTTCGGATTGCTGCGATGAGAAAATCGATGTCCGCCCGGAGAGAACTTTCCATAGTGATTTCTGACTGCTTTCCGCTTACAACGACCGCTGAAGCCTGGACTTGCTGTATCTACCATTTTGTCTGCCATTTCCGCAAGCTTGGCCAGAATTCCGTCGTGACAAGTGATGATAGGACGAATGTTCGCAGGCAAACGCAACAAATTATTATCAACTCAGCTCCCCCAGATTGTACGTTCCGAGCAGGCGTTCGTACCTGTTTTCCGGCGAAATGGCGAGTCGAGCGATCAGTCGGGTTTTTACGGCATTGTATTTGTTTTCGGCGGGCGGCGTTGCAACAAGATCGGCAATGTGACAAATGACAGACTGGTCAACTTTTGCCACAATATGGTGAAATTTCGTCTCGTGGATGGTAATCTTGGCAAGTGCGAATTGCGATTCAGCTTGCGCAAACCACATGACCGGGTCCGTCTTCCAGAAGTCCGGTAATTTTACACCTACTACTGCAGCTTGATTGTTGGGCTCCGGATTAGCCATTTTGAGGTTAGTTTCATACGATTTTCCGAAAAACGGGTCTTTGTAATCGGAACGGGTAAACCGACCGAATTCGAAAGGTTTCGCGACGTTGGCGGTCACCAATGTGGTGTTTCGAACCGATTTCAATGATCGAAGACGTTTATTACGGATAATATCAAACTCTTTATTCTTGGCAAATTACAAGCAATTGCAAACTCGGCGTTACAAGAATAATCCTTCTTTTGTTTCCCCCTCCTTCTCACCATCCTTTCTCTCTCTCTTCGTGCAAAGCTCCGTAAACGTTGGTTTAAACTGTAATACCATAGAGGTAACTCAGCTCTGGTACTATCTTCGGTCCCAAGCTAATCTATTCACCCCTCGAAACAAAGGAAAATCCAATAACCCCTCATTTTATCTGTCAAACTTTCATAGCGAATCAAAACAAACATTGTGTAGTACTAGAATTTTGACTAGAATGGGGTACGTTAATCGTTTGCTTGGGACCAATAGGCTAGTCAAGTAGTGAGCAAAATTAAAATCGTTAGTTTCGTATTGATTGTTGGTAATACCCCGTTCACATTACAGCGTATATCATGTGATATACGCTGTCTTGCAATGAG